AGAGAGAGAGAGAGAGAGAGAGAGAGAGAGAGAGAGAGAGAGAGAGGCGTGAACAGAGTTACCTCTGAAACTGCCGCACATGGATGAGGATGCTGGAATTGGGTTGCTGAACTCTGCGCTGACGAGTGCTGGTGAATGTACCTCTGAAACTGCCGAACATGATAAGTTGCTGCAATTTCTAAGCTGCGCTATTCTGGACTTTGCATCTCTGGTCTCCAGTGTGGTTTCCGTGTGATCTCTCAATGCGTGAGTGTGTGTGCTCAAGGTGACGAGCAGCTCAATGCAACAGTCTCTCATACCCGCTTTTCAAGCAGTACAGAGCAAAACGGATGAACCGTTATATAAGGTTTTTTTCTTGGACTTGCAGGTGGAATAGGAACCGGACAGACGGGCCCGGCGGCCTAGCTCAGTTGGTGGAGCACGAAGGTTCACAGCCTCCTGCGGCGCACTGCAGGTTGCCAAGCTGATATAGTCAGAGGTCGTGGGTTCGAGTCCCCACGCCTTCCATTCGAATTCTCGCGACCTCCTGCGGCGCGCTGCAGGTTCCCAAGCTGATATAGTCAGATTGCCCCCCATGGTTTTTGATTGGTAGGGGAATAGTCCCTTCCAGTTGTTGCTGGGGGTTAGGTTCAACCCCGAGAGGACAGGCTCAACCCTGAGGGGATAGGCTCAACCCATAACCCGTAAGTGTACTGCACCTCCGGTGCATAGATGTGGTTTGCTGTGTGCACGTAGCCTGGTATCGCCGCGGGATAGTTGGTTGCCCTGGTATTGCCCCGGGATAAGTTACACCCTTGCTCGTTGGGTTTGTGGTTAGACCAGAGCATAGATAAGGGAGGTCTCCATACTCGATAGGTGAGTAGATAACGTAGGGTAGGTAGGTAGCTAGTGTGAAGTTCACACGATATTGAGAGAAGAAAATAGGGTAGTAACTTGTAAGTACAGCTGTCCCCCATATATGTGGAGAAGACGGCTGTTTTTTTTTTTAATAAATAGTAAACAAAATTGTTTATATAAAGAAAGGAAAGTTGTTGAAATGCCCCTGACAGTTGGGGTATTTAGTCAGATACCCCTAAAAGGCATGGGTATGGCAAAATGCCCCTATGACATTCGTAAAAAGTTAAAAACATTGTGAAATACCCCAGTTGCCAATTGGAGCTGTCATCTTTTGCATATATCCCTACCGGGCCCCGGGCACCTTGTCTAATACCCCTTATTTTATTTTATTTTATTATTATTATTTTTTTGCCTGGGATCTTCTTTGGTCCTTGCACGTGCAGTCCAGCGGGTAGCCTAGAAAACAACCTTCAAAATAATTGACTGTCAATCTAGGCTACCAGCCGGGCCGCCCGAGGCCCGGGTGGCCAGCCCGTGCAAGGACCAGGGAAGGTCCCAGCAAAAAAAATAATAATAATAAAAAATCCAAAAAATCCACAAAAAACTATGTTATGCAGAAAAATAAACTGAACAACTTTTGCCTCAGGGTCACATCGAAATTCTTCACCAAATTCAAAATAAAGTATATTTTAAAAATATATTTTTTATTATTTTTATTTTTTTAATGTTTTTGGCCCGGCCGGGCAAGTGATCCCGGGCCACTCTGGTAGCCTAGCTGTCGATGAAAACCTTCAAAGTTCAAAATAATTGAAATTTGAAACAGACTGTCGATGAAAACCTTCAAAATAATTGAAATTTGAAACAGACTGTCGACCCAAGGCGTATACTCTACACTCACCTTCTTCTGGACATGTTTCAGTCCATTCCAAATCGTGTTGATGCGATTGTACCAATGGTCAAGACCAGCCCATGGGATCATACCAGGTATGGACAGGCACATTGGCCTCTCCCATGGAAGTCGACCTTGGAAGACCGTTTCCACATGACATGTAGAATGCTTCTTTGTAGCAGTAATCCTGCTTCGCCATGTGGAAACATAAATCATTGAATGCTTGTACATATACCAACAGGGCTCTTTCCGCATGTCAACATGGAAAGACAGCCAGCCTTGCATCCGCACTCTCAACGTGCGACGACCATCTGCATCCGCATGGGAGATTGTATCTCCGTGCACTTTATGGCGTGTTGCCTTCCTGCCGCCCTGACACAGACCCTGTTTCTGCAGAACATCAAACAAGCAACCCCATCACGATGTCAGAACTACACACCCCATACAGGGATTCACTACGTAGGTAGGTTGGATTGAGCTTTTTCCCTGCTTGAGGTATTATGATTTTTGTGAACATAGCTGAGCAAAACTGAGGGGGATGTTTATGAACGATAAGCTAGCCGTTTGATCTCCAATGCTCCATTGGTATCACTCTTGGGGGAGTCTTGGGCATGGAGCAGAATAGCCCCCAAGAGCGTTAAATTTCACAGAGGATTTCAACTCCTGACCTGTCCATTAACTATTATAGCTCTTGTGTGACATTCAATCACGAAATAACTCTCTCTCTCTCTCTCTCTCTCTCTCTCTCTCTCTCTCTCTCTCTCTCTCTCTCTCTCTCTCTCTCTCTCTCTCTCTCTCTNTCTCTCTCTCTCTCTCTCTCTCTCTCTCTCTCTCTCTCTCTCTCTCTCTCTCTCTCTCTCTCTCTCTGTCTGTGTCTGTTGTAAACTGTCACCCAAACAAACCCTTTTCCACCCGAATGAGCTGATCGAAAATTGAAACAGCTTTACCTCTATAGCAAACGACGTGAAGCACAACAAAACCATTATACTGCCTTTTCCTTGTACGGTCCTTTCTTTACTTTGGCTTTCTTCAGGGTACCCCTTTTATTTGTTCTTGCAGCTCTGCTTTTACTGTGCCTCTAACGTACAACGCTTGCCACGTTGATTGTGGTTGAGTGCAAGCTGCCCAAATCCCAATGTGCCATAATGGCCCACTTGCACGCTATGAAAGGAGGCATGGTAACGGAGGAGGTATACTCCTGTTCATTTTCCCTCAGATCTTCCGCTTGATAAATATTTTGGCTGACTCTGAATGATGCTCCTTCGTGCGCATTTAGTAGTCGTACACAACGGGAGCGAGGAAGGAATGGGGTAGGGTGTGGAGTTCTAGAGGAAGCGAGAGACGGCCGAGGGAGAAGGGGGAAGTCGAGGGGAAAGGAATAGAACAGAGGAAAGAAAAACTTCACAGAGTTCTCAATACTCAGTGTTACTCACCGCTCGAGAAAACTCCGTAAGAATGGCACAAGAGGCCAGTCAGTGTTTGGGTTACAGATCAAATTTGAAATTTGAGTTGAGGAGCAGCTGTTGCCTATGGCGGGTGTAGACTGTGGAAGCACCGCATCCAATTCTCGCAGTTGCTGTTGCTGTCTCGAGTGGCACGGCGTAGACAGATGTCACAGGCTACATGACTCCAACAATGCTACGAATACAGAGGCACGCTGACCACAATTGTACAGGCATTGCTGTTCCCGCCCCTGTGTATAAGCACAGGTGTACAGAGGCACGCGGACCGAAAGCCAACTGTCGGGCCATGCGGCATTGGACATGCCATGCCAGGGATTCGTACATGAGCACAATGTTGACTGTCATCATACGTCTGAAAACGAAAACTTGCATGGGGTATAGCTTCATAATCCGCATGAGAGAAGGCCTGCCAATTGTATGCCAGCCGAATCTCAGGTGGGGCATCACAGAGTCCCTCTCTATGGGCAGGCGATGACGGGGGCTGATCCAAAGCACAGGTGTTTAGCTGTTGCAAGATCTCGTCTGCAACAGCTCGCCTTGGCGGTGATAACCTTTCAGTACATCACACTGCAGGTGGTTCATGTGAGAGTCTATTTTTCATTTAAGGCTGCTGGGCCTGTTGTTTGTCTGGCAAGGATGAAGGAAGGAGATCCGACTACGGGTGCAGCAGGTGTATACTCAACACCGCATGTGCGACATGCTAGGAGAGGACGTGGCAGGTGATGGCATCGGGGATAGTCCACGCAGCTGAGACAGATACTTTCCACGACAGCTTCTAGGAAACATCGATGACACATGGCCTGTCGCTGACAGGCCAGAGCGAAAGCAGACTGATGTCTGCAAATATTTAAACATGGCATGCCAAGGCCACAACTGCATATCGGGATGAGGGGGATGAGTGCAAGACAACGAACGGGTCACAGTGTTCGTGGCAGAGGCCGGCAGTGACCCCCTCTTCATAGTGTTTGGAGCAGAGATTATGTGGTGTGCATGCTAACCAAACTGTACCTGTGTGAAGACACGATAGCACACAATAGCACGTCACAGCCGCCGTCCTCTGGAAGGGGCGTCTCACTATCCATGGCAGAATGTCAGATCTACACAGGGAAGCGACGCTGCCAGGCCATGTTCATGGGAAGTGAGAAGCAGTACAGTGCAACAGGCCAGCTTAAGCAGGGGTGAGGGGTGGTACATCCTTTCCAGTTCGGACGTAATCAATGGAATAGGAACCGGACGGATGCTCCCCAGAATGGGAAAAAGGAAAAAAAAGAGGCCTGTGTGACGGGCGATCTGATCATGAATGTGTTGATGATGACGAGGACGTTGATGAGGGGGAGGCATGCGAGGAGGAGGAGGACGAGGAGGAGGAGGAGGAGGAGGAGGAGGAGGAGAAGGAAGGAGAAGAAAAGGAGGTAGTTGACGAAGAGCAATGAGGGGAGGAGGAGGAGGAAGAAGAAGGAGAGGCAGTTGACGGAGAAGATGATGTAGTAGATGGAGTGGATGATGCAGCAGAAGATGCAGGTGAAGGAGCTGGTGGTGATGACGGTGGTGAAGGTGGAGGCACACTTTCAGCAGCAGCCACCTTGGTAGGATGCAGACTATTCTCCCCTGCAGCCACCTCGGCCACATTTATTTTGTCTGCTGCTGCTGGCCTGTTTCTGGTGGAATTGCAATTGCCACATTAGCAGCTACCATTCCAGTAGGAAAAACTGGGGAGAGCAGGGCCACTGTGTGTGGCCCTGTGGAGGGCTGATGCTGCCTGTATTCAGGATTGGCATTCGGGAGTCGGTAGGCGCCCACTGCATGTGGCTGTGCGGAGGGCTGACGATGCCTGTGCTCAGAATTAGCATTTGACAGTGGGTGAGCAATTTTTGACCAGTGCACCATGCGGCAAACCATAAGCCGGGTGACATGAGTGCGTACTCTATGTTGCCGGCCACAAATATATGCAGTCCAACCTCTGGCCAGGACACTGAGAGGATGGCCCCTAACAAGCAGACGTCGTGTCAGGGAGTCACTGCAGCTTTAAAGTCAGTAGCATTATTACAAATATGCACAGATCTCGTCAGCTGTCCAGTGAGCACACCTGCGGGCTGAAGAGCTGGGGCACTGGAGAAAGCACTAGGATAACGTATGCAAGGGAATTGTCCAAGCCTCAGCCTTATCAAACATGAAGTGACTCATCTTGTCGAACCAAGATTTTCGTGTCCCGAGGAAGAGACGTGACCCATCTTGTTCAGTAGTGTCTTCCCACTCAAGATCATACTGAGCCGGAGGGGAGGGAGATGTCTTCCAAGATAGGATCTCATCAATGAACCAAAACGTGAATGCACATGCTTGAGCTGCTCGTAGATCTCGCTGACGTGGTTCAGCGATGAACTGCGCCTTGTCCCAATCGAGAGTGAGATTGGCAATGTCTGTATGCGTGTGTGTGTGTGTTTTAGATTTTCCCCACAACAGCCCCAATTCCACCCAGGTGAATAGATTCAGAATCAAAGCAGTCTTTGCCCTATTGCAAGACAACGAGAGCATTTGAGATGTCCAACATATTAAAGCAATTTTATAATTAGACAGTTTTTTGGTTGTCCTTGGGGTACCCCTTTCATTGTTCTTGCAGCTCCCCATTTACTGTGCCTCTTACGAACAAGGCCGCCCACGTTGATTGTGGTTGAGCGGCAGCTGCCCACATCCCCGTGTGCCTTCACGGCCCACTTGCACGTTATTTCAGGAGGCAGAGTAAAAGGGAAGGTATGCTCCTGTGCATCTCTTCAGAGCTTCATACTCCTGTTCATTTCACTTCAGATCTTCAGCTTATACAGTCTTTGTGTCCGTCCTTCATCTTCATACTTCCATTCATTTCATTTCTGATCTTCATATCGTCTATACTCTTAATGATGCTCATTTGTATGTATTTGTTAGTAGTACAAGGGGAGTGGAGGGGAGGGTGGAGGGTAAGGGGTAGAAGGCGGGGTTCTCTAGGAGTATGGGGCAGGGGAGGTAGGGGCAACGGGAGGGCAGGATAGAGTATGACATGCAAAGAGCAGGGGAAAGGTGTATGACGGGTTTCACAGATTTCTAAATATTCACCGCTGAAGCAGACTTCTAAAAAAAAAAAACAAAAAACAAAACTATGGCGAGTGGCCACCCCTACAGACCGGACAGTACCAGTTCGGGTGTGGGCTATGGAAGCACCGCATCCAATTTTCCCAGTCACAGTTGCTGCATCGAATGGCACGGCGCAGACAGATGTCACAGGCTACGTGGCTCGTACATGCCAGGAACACAGAGGCACGTCGACCGCAATTATAGAGGCATTGTCGTTCCAGCCCGTCTACAAATTGGACATGACTTTGCAACAGGACCGGGTATGCTGGAAAGAATGGCACAATTCAATTCCAGAAAGGGGCTTTCAACAACAGGCAACGTCGGAGGGCATAATCCCATCTTAGGCCGTAAGGGAATGAATAGAATCCTCAAGAGGCCCAGGGGGTACAGACAAAGAGGGAACGTGGGAGAAAGGAGGACAAATTGGAGAAGGTGATAATACTGGAGCATGAACGGGGGTTGCAAAGGAAGATTTTATCACAGAGGTCCGGAAGCAAACGAAGTCCTGCCAGGTTCCAAGTTTGACGATCGGAGGACAGGAGCGCAGGCTGAGGGTTTAGGGTTTAAGGTTAGACGGTTGATCATCCAAAGGGGCAGGGAGGTGTGTGGGGAGGGAACAGGTCGGCAAGGACAACGGATGAGCTCTTTCTAGGGTCAATGGCGCTATCTGGCAGATCTGGAATCCAGGTCTGAGAGGAAAGAGAGGGACAGGGCAAGCTGACGGTCAATCCTCCACCGCGGTGGAGCAATCAATGCTGTTCAGGGGTCCTTTGGTCGGACGGAAGGAAGCGTGTGCGAGTGTTTATTGATGTAATGTACATA